CGGCCGGCGGCGCGGCGCCGCGGAGCAGCCCGTGCCCGGTCCCTCGCAGCCGCCCCGCGCGCCCTGCCCGCCGCCACAAGGAGGCTGGAGGCCCGAGCGCGCTTTGCAAAACCGGCTTTATTAGAAAACCGCCGCCGCGACCCCCGGGAGGGGCTGGCGAGGAGCAGCTCGGGGCGAGGCGGGCCGAGCGCTGCAGCAGCCCCCCCTTCCCGGCTGTTACCCTCTGCTCCAGGCCCTGCTAAACAGGGAGCGAGGGGCACGGGGGGCGTAGGGCTGTGAGCCCGAGCCCCCAGGCAGAGCTCAGCTCCTACCCGAGACACGGCCCAGGGCCCGGTGCCACCGCAGGGACACCGGGGTTGGTGGCCCAGGCCGGCACAGACGGGATGGGCGCTGGGCACACACGCTGCCGACACGGATGACGCGGCCAGGCTCGTGCCCCCCCGGAGCCTGGGTCAGCGGGGCAAGTGTTAAAGAGAGAATGAGCAGCAGAGAAACAAAACAAACACAGAACAGAAACACCCGGGCTCCAATGCCGGCCTTCTGCCCAGCAAGCCCTGGAGCTCCAGGGATAAAGGCTTTGGAAATCAACCGTTTAAGGACTCTTGAGTTCCTGGACTCAGGTGCTAATGGGTGGTGGGGCTGCGGCTCTGTCAGAATTCCTGGCCTGTGTTATGGAGCAGTTTGGCAGCTGCCCGGCCCGGTCAATGCTGCCCTCCCGCTCTCAGGCCCTGCCCACGGCGAGGCTGCCCAGCCCAAGCAGATGGAGCTCTTGCCACATGTGCCACTAGAGGCTGGTGGCAGCTGGGCACAGCCACCACCCCCGGGCCTGAACAGCCCACTAAGCTGTAATAGCCAAGCAGGGGCAAGAACTGCAGCTTTTCTTCCAAATTTGCAGCTCAGGTTGGGCGATAGAGGCTCTACCACCTCTCACAGCTACTCCAATAAAATTAAGTAGTAGCTGGATTTCAGTGAGCTTCTCCATGAACTGTGGCAGACCTGAGCAACACTCATCAGGTAGAGTCAGTAACTAGTTGCTTTCTACAGAATTCACCCTAATCAGCTCTATCCTTCTGCTTGAAACAACCTCCAGTTGCTCTTTTGGACACTGTGCTGCTCCAACACTAACACAAGGCCACCAAGGCCAGGCCTGCACCAATGAGAACCACCAGAAGGGATGGGGACAGCATTTCTTTCTTCCCCAGAAGTAAGGACTAGGAGTGCTTCGGGGCTTTGTCAGAGTTCACTGAAGCTCTGACCTGTGCTTCTTTCTCTAGCTCCTATCAATATGTGTGATTTCCCCCAGCTTTCAGGATGCCAGGTCATTGCAGGAGAACTAGCAACATATTAGAGGTGCTCAGCACCCACTGCAGAGCACTTTAAGCCACTGCATGGGAAGGTGGAAAAAACCTCTGAGGGCAGCTGAGAACTGGGTGCAGTCAGATTCCTAGGGCTGTTCTGCAGAATTTGGAGTCCATGTAGGATGAGGCTTCATCAGGTAGAGTGAAAAAAGAGAATTCAAAATAGGTAGAGAAACTGCTTTGGAGTTTTGTAACTGTGACCCTATGCAGGCCTGGAGACACTTCCCCAGCATCTCAAGGCAGTGATGAGATGGTGGGGAAGTGCTGGGAACTCTGCTGGCCATCCTATTACGTTACCTCTCAAAGGTATGCGTTACGTGTATCTCCAGATCTTGACCTAAAAATGCAACAAGCCATGTCCTTAGGCTGGACACAGCCTCCAACACTGCCTGACTTGCACTCAGGCAGGAATACGGCAAAGAACAGAGGAAAGTCAGGAGCTGCCACCCACACCTCTGGAGGACACATCCTGTAAGCTCATGTTCTAAAATTGAACCACAGGAATCCTCCCTCCCACCAGGGCTGGGAGATGCTCTCGGAGCATCTTTGCGCTCTCGGAGATGTCAGTGCTTGCTGGAATATAATGTTTCTTCTTCAGTGTCCGTTTCATCCTGGAATTCGTGGCTCAGGAGGGACTTCTTGGAGCCAGTGGACATCATGCGGATCTCGTCCTCGTAATCGTCGTGGTGCTGGCGGAGGCGGTGGAAGCCGTCCTTGTGCCTGTTGGACTTGATGGAGCAGACACACCAGATGATGCAGGCGGTGAGGACCAGAGCAGACATACTGGCACCTGCCACGGAGAAGACACTGAAGTTAATGTCATGTTCCTCCACTGCGGAAGCCCCTGTTTTTCCTGCTCTGTCTCTCCCCATTCCCAGTTACAGCCGCTTTTCCTCACTTCATTGTAACCCTACTCCTTCCTCTTAGATGACAGGACACATACCATGGGAGAGGTGCTTCCAGAGCAGGACTGCATCTGCTTTACCTTCTGGCATCACGTCCTAGCACAGCATCACTGGGCGCCTCTGCAGACAGCTGGGTTTCAGCTCTGCTCGCCCCAGCAACTGCCACCTTGACAGAAAATCTCTTTATGCTCAACCACTACCACACCACGCAGAAACCCTTGGGCAAGGTGCAAGATCTGCAACCCCCAGGTTCATACACAAACAGGCTCCCTGCATTCTGACCACCTCAAAAGTCCATTCTGGTTCATTTAGATCACTGCAGTGATCTCCATTCCCTTCCTCCTTCCCACCTGCCAGCCCAGCAGCACCAGATCCAAGGATATCAGAGCCACTTGCAAGGACAAACAAATATCAAGAAGCAAAAGCAGAATGTGCTGGGCTACTTTTCCAGTTCCGAGACCAGGCAAGAATCACTATCAGGATGAACGGGTTCTGAAAGCGAGGCTCAAAGATGTGATGAAGAAAGTCTCACACTACCTGCAACAGTTACAACCAGCTCCCTTCGCAGGCCAAATATCTTGTTATCCATGTCAAACACGATGAATACGGAGCTAGGTGCGTCGTGGCGTACCAGAACCTGCAAAGACACACACCAGAACTCAAGACTGTCTCGAGGCTTTCAGCTCTGTTAGGTGCCCAGAGAAAAAAAAGATAGTTGGTAACCAGAACAGGACCAGATAGATGCCAAAAATGAGTACAATGCAGAAAAGAGTTATTGCTCAGAACCACCATCCTGTGCTGGGAAATTCTCTTCCATCCATTGTATGGAGGCAGAAGGCAGATACTCTGGGCACGCAGCCAGCACAAACTCGGCCAACAAAGGAGAGCTCAAGCGTGAGCATCTAAGGATACTTCTGCCTGACAGGGGAAAGAAAATCTCTGACACAGACATTCACATACCTTGACACGCTTCTGCTGGTATCCATCAGCTATAGCATCGATGTTATGCAAACCAGGAGCCAGGAGCACATGGAAATAGCCTCCCTCTTTAGTACAGACCTTCAAACTCTCATTAAAAATAACAGTGGCTTTAGCAATCGGCTTCCCACTCTTGTCCTGCACAAATCCATGGACTCCTTTATGAACCTGAAAGAAGACAGTTCCAATTGACCAATATGACACTTTTGTAAGTAAAACAGGATCTAACCCTATCCCCAAAATACAACCCATCCTCCATTCCAATCCTCCTGTAAGAAGTATGGGTACCCAACTCGCTCCTCCTTCCCTCTGTCCCACCACCTTCACTCCTGGGCAGGAGCTCGGCGCCCAGGCTGCGCCTCACCTCCACGAGCATGCTGAGCAGAGGCTTCCTGTGGGCTGCCCACAGGCCGGGGAGCTGTCCTGCGCTCGGGAAGTAACAGCAGCTGGTATAAACTGTGATCTCAGGGCAGTGGCCAAACGAAACGCTGAAATCCTGCAAAAAACAAAACCACGGTTACGACAGAAGAGGTGGCATCTACTAAATTTTGCAAAGATGCAACTGGAGAAGAGGCAGAGTTTTGCCTAGATATCAGAAAAATATATATTTTAATGTTCCTTTAAAGCCAAGCCTGCTGAGTGGGAAAGCCTTGTGTTGCCATGAAGTACCTTCATACTGCCCTGGTGACTGTGCCATTCAGCGCCACGGATCACACCTCCAGGAATATTTTCATCTGTGACAGCAAGAAGACAGTTACCAGACTCTTCCAGGAGCAGATCCATCTATCACAAGCAGCCAGCAGTTAAAGGCTTGGACTAGACATACCTGACTTATTTGGACAGCCCGGCTGTCCTAAATGCATCAATGGGTGGTTGTTTGCATACACGGATGCCAGATGCTTCAGTGTTTCTTTGTTCTGCACTATAAAGAGAAGGGTGTGACACTGAGCACATAGCTACCATTCACCAATAAAGCAGATCCTCATCCCCTACAATCCCATATTAAAACAGATGAACACCGTTTAGTTACACTGAGAAAGCTCACAGGATACTGCTAGGAAACAATGCTTTCCATTTCCATTTCTACAGCATTTCTCCTTTTTCCCTGCCAAAGCCAGTACACACTTTGCTTTTCAGAATATTTCAGAATATTTAAGGTTGGAAGGGACCTCTACAGATCATCTAGTCCAACCTTCCTGCTCAAGCAGGCACACCTAGAGCATGTGGCACAGGGTGGCATCCAGGCGGGTTTTGAAGACCTCCAGAGTAGGAGACTCCACAACCTCCCTGGGCAGCCTGTTCCACTGCTCTGTTACCCTAACAGTGAAGAAGTTGCTCCTCACCTGGAGACGGAACTTCTTATGCTTCAGTTTGTGGCCATTACCCCTCGTCCTATCGCTGGCCACCAGTGAGAACAGCCTGTCCCCTTCCTCCCTGCATTCTCCCTTCCTGAACTTATACATGTTAATCATATCCCCTCTGAGCCGTCTCTTCTCCAGAGAAAACAGGCCCAGCTCGCTCAGCCTCTCTTCATACGAGAGATGTTCCATTCCCTTAATCATCCTGGTTGCCCTTCTCTGGACCCTCTCCAGAAGCTCCACGTCCCTCCTATACTGGATACATCCTTTTTTTTTTTTTTTTTTTTTTTTGATACATCCTTTCAGTCACTGGGAAAACCTGAAATCCCTCCCAGAACAGACTGCCATCCACTGCCTCAGTACAAAGGGTTGAAAAGAAAGGTTACAGAGCATAGAGTGCATGCAAGACCTTAGCAGAGCTCATCATACCCGTTTGCACTGGCTCATCATACGGGTAAGTGACAAGCAGAGATCCACCATCCAGTGCAACAGACAGGCTGAAATCCTGCTTCAGTATCAAATTCTCGATGATGGCTTTGGTCTCCGGCTCTCGTGTCCCTGGGTATCGGGAATAATTGCCTGCAAACAAGAACAAGATATAAGAGAGGGAGTTGTAAACAGCTTCTTCAGCTATTTGAGATGACAGCAAAAGTTAATACCTGAAAGTCTACTGTATTAGAAGGTTTTTTCTAGATCTCAGCAAACTGCACCTAACAAATGCCTAGTTCACACTACCTAGTGGCAGCATCTATTGATGCTAAGTTATTTGCTGTGACAGTGCAAAGTGTGCCTCGCAGGTGGTTGTCCTCCTCAGGGCCACCAAACTGGCACATTTTCCAAAGGAAGCACTAGGGATTATCCCAAATGAAAGCTCCAGCCCAGGAGGGGTGGACACAGTACTCCAATACAGAACGCTGGATACTCAAGGCACTCATACAGGAACCAGAGGGCATGGAAAGGGAGACCATTTCCAGGGAGCATGAATAAAGAACTTGGGTGCTGGCAGAAATCATTAACAGAAAACACATTAAATGCCATCTGAATGCAGGACTACCCCTAAAAAAAAAGTCTACTTCCTCTTCTTTGCAAATAAGGACTAGCAAATTACCACCTCTCCTTTCCGCTAAAGCCTGCAACCAAATGGACTGTGACTACACCTAAGCCCACAGCAGAAAGCAGAAGACGTCTACAGCAGCTGACATTTCTGGAGGGACTCTACCCATCAGTTCACTTTACTTGTGAAGTCTGTGTCCAGATCTCTGCCGTGGGCGTTGGTCCGGCCTATCTTGGATGTGCAGTCTCTCTCCTGTGCTATCTCACGTCCATCCGGATTCAGGGAAGGCACAATCACAATCCGGGTGCGGTCAATTAGCTACGCAGAAGTAAATAAAGTACAATTAGGATCTCATTTGCCTACATCTCACGCTGAGAACCACTGCTCACATTGATTTCACCAGCCAAGGGCTGTTTCCAGGAAGAACAGGATTCCTCAGTCAGCAAGGGAGGGACAGAGGGACACTACCCACCAAATGCAGTCCCCCAGGGATTCCTTTCTGGTACCCAAGGCAGAGAGCTCTTGAGGGGGTTCCCAATGACCCCTATGGATTTCACAGCACCTGCCTGTTGCTCATGGAATTGCTACAACCCACAATCTAGTGTTAACAAGGCAGATCTCTCCCAGAAAGTATCCTCTTCTCAGGATATAACTTGTAGGGCTCCCGTATGGCTCCCTGCATTAGCTCCTCACCTTTGTAACCGCCGCGTTCTTCTTGTAGTTCATGCAGAGAAATTCTGCCAGCGCCAGGAGCAGCTCGGTACCAACAGGAGCATTTCCATGGATTCCAGCAACAAAGCGGATCTTTGGCTTCTCCGGCTCCGACTGGTTGGGCTTGTTGGAGATTTCGAGGGACCACAGCTGACGGAACTCAACACTCTGCCCCAAACTGCCAAGAGATCAGAAACTGGAGCTCAGGAACAGCGCCCAACCCTGGCCTGGCCCCAGGGAGAAATCCACGTACAGCCAAGGACTGCTGCTCCCCTCTGCGAGCAGACAGCAGAGGCAACCATCACAACCATCAGCTGCATCATTAACGAAGATTAGCAGTAGCACCGAAACACATTCCCTACGAATGTCATTTTGAACAGAAGCGTCTATGTGAGAAGATATCCAGGCCCACGTGCAGAGGACACCCAATGTGCTGTACATCCGTGTATAGTTGATAATGTTACTGCAGATGTGGGGCTGCTAAATGGCTCTGTGCAACTATTTTTTAATTTATTTCAGGGTGGGGTATATGTAGCTATCAAACAATTTTATAAAAGCATCCAGTTTAGAGGACAAAAGCAAAGTTGTGCCATTATGTCAGCAAACTGAACGCAAGCAAAGCAGGAACAGAATCAGGGCTAATGCGGCTGAAGAGACAATAGAAGCTACAGATCAGAAGGGCAGCCTTGGCACCAGCAGGGACAGCACATGAGCACATTGTGCCTGGTAACTACAAGCAAACAAGGTCCTGGACACAGAGGCCACCTTTGTCCCTTCTGAAACCAAGTGCTGCAGGTCACAAAGAGGGCAGAGGACTACAGACCGTGGCTCTCCTGCAGGAGGGCAGGGACCTGGAACCAAGAAAACTCAAGCACTATGAATTTAAAACTTGAACGCAGGTAAAAAAGAAAGGTCTCTAAACTTAATGAGTTTTGCTGGGGACTGTTTAGAAGGGTAGGTATTAGGGCATGGAAAAGAGGAAATGGAGACAGAGAGATGGACCGAGATGCTTGTCGCAACTCCGGACATCAACGTTGGGAATGCCATCCCAAGCACCTCTGGGGAGCTGACGGAGCCCAAGACTTAAGGCAGTGGATGATGCCTCGGGGAAAACAATGTGGATGGTTCCCTAAGTCTCTGCAGCCAAATGCTTACACTTGGGGCTACTCATGCATCAGAGGTGAGGAAGGGGACAAGCTGCCCATCTCCACGCCACGTGGAGGAGGATCAGCTCCCTTCCCTGCTGCTGCTCAGGTGGGAGCTGAGAGCTGCTGTTTAGAGTTCCCACCTGGTGAGATTTGTGATGTGGGGGTAGTTCAGGTTGAGGCCGCGGAGGAACTCGGAGAGGTCCTTGTAAGGGCGGTATCGATAAGGGGACACATCCCCTGACGAGGTTAGCAGGAGGCGCTCCAGCCCATTCTCGGCAGAGAGATCTTTGATGAGCATCTCAAACTCCTTCTCGTTGGGGTCGCTGGTGTCCGGAGTGTTCAGGACTGGCACCTTCCCCGCCTCTGCTTTGGAGCCTGTCCGTGTAAGGGTGAAGTTGACCTGCACCCCGCCTTTGCTGTCAACTTCCACCGTCTTAGTTACTGGCTCATACCTGCCCAGGGAAGAGAGGACAGAAGGAAATGTCACAGGTTCAAGGCCCTCCACACCAAGCCACTCCTCTTCCCAACTATACACTCAAATGGAAGTGCTACTGTTCCCCAGCCAAAAAAGCGAGAAGCATGAAGGTAAACAAGGACATTCCAAAGGGACATGGGACTACCAGGAGAACAGGAGGCAAATCAGAGCTCAGAATGATGCTGGGCTGCCTTTGGCTCTGCCTTTGCGGAGTTATGTGGCAGAAGGGACCAAGTGAGGCAGCTGAATCCTTTGCCTTCAAAAGGCAACAAGGTCCTGCCAGCTGTAGCAGTGACTGCCTGCAAGAGCACTTCCCCTGAGGACACTAAGTCAGTAACTCCTGCCCCACTGAAAGGCACACACCACCTCCAAATATAGCGAGGTTTGTATTCTGCAGCGTCGCCTGACAAGCAGTCTTTGCTATCAGGGTAGCATCACTTTGCTACCTCTGCACAGGCCAGAGAGCAGGGGAACCCTCCATGCCCGAATTTGCTGCAGTGGGAATGGGCCTCTTCCTAACAGGGAAAGTTCAATGTTGCAACAAGAGCTCATTCCTCATGCCCCAGCTATCTCACCCTCGAGCAGATGCTGTGATTCTGTACGTCCCCTGGACCAAGAGGCGCCAATAGTCTCCGTCCTTGTAGGTGGTGACCAGGTGATTGATGTCAGCAACGCTGATGGTGGCGTTGAGAATGCCCCGTCCATCGGTGGCGTCCAGCACGAAGCCGTGGATGCCGCGGTGAACCTGGGCACAGACCCCGGCGCTGCTCAGTGCCAGCCCACCCCAGCGGGTCGGTCCCACCACCCGCTCCACGGCGGGAGGGCGCTGACACCCCGACACCGCCAGCTCCCAGCCTGCAAGCTCCAGCAATCCCGGTGGTGCAACATGTTCCCACAGAGTTCAGGTGAAACTTGCTGGCTGTTGGCATGGCCAGAGGTCACTTGATGAGCACAATGAGCAATTGTTTGCCTCGCAGGGCCACCACAGCACCCTGCTCCACACCTTTGTTTGCATGGCCCGGGTGCACAGCACTGCTGCCAGGCCCATCTCAGATCCCCAGGGAACTGCACATAAAGGCCATTCCAATCTTAGGAAGGCCACAAGACCTGCAAATAAAAAGCCTGCTTTTGTACAGGCTTTGTATTGGTATGTTGATATACCAATCCCATACCATTGTACCTCCTGGCTGCTGTTCCTGTATGCATTTTTGGTATGTTGAGCAGGAAGGGACAGGGGAAGTCAAGACACATTCCAATTTCTGTTCTGCAAGTACCCACTCTGGCCAGGAAACTCCAGCACTCACTTCAGCCTGCAGATTAGCTCATTCATTCTGGCACTCTAGCACAGACCCCAACGGGCAGCAACACAACTGCTTGGGGGTCACACATCTCACCTGTTTCATGAACTGGAGAAGAGACCTGCGGTTCTGCTCCCAGTATTTTGGCAGCTCCTCTGCTTTTGGATATTTCACACAGCCCAACTCAATAGTCACTTCAAAGCAGTTCGTGTTTAAGTAATTCCAGTCTTGCATCCCACCTACAAGAGGAATGTAGAAAAAGGTATTGATAAGGTCTCCTGAAGGCAATAGTAGCATAGCTCAAAAATCAGATAGTAGAGAAAGGGCAAATACTGACTACAGAATGCATTTTATAGCCATAGAGAGAACGCTTCTAGACAAGGCAAGCTTCAGGCTTTAAAGGGATGCCCAAATAGCAGACAAATAGCCACCCTTCTTGTAAATGCCTCTCATGCTAACATATTGCTGTAAAGTTTTATGAAACTATTTTGCTGGTAACCATGAGCTAGAGTATAAATTCTTTCCCTCAGGAATAACTTAACCAAGGTATATTATTTAAGAGGTTATAAAAGAAACCCAAGTTCCTGTAATTTGGGCTCTAAGCTGCACGTGCTTTAGCTTGGAGATGAACAACCTGAGAGACTTGAGGCCCATCACTATGAAAGCTGTAGACAAAAATATTGCGCCTCCACATTACCTGGGACGTTGTACCACTGAGCCCCGTTAGTGATGCCGTGTGGGAAGTACTCGGTGGGGTACATGTCCTTACAAGGGCTTCCTTGATACATCTGCGTGTTTTCCTGAAAACCAAGATGCAACATGTGAAGCTGAGTGTCTGCATTCTATCACAACTGGCACTTTTGCTCTAACAGTCACACACTGAGGTTATCAGACACAGAAGCTGACATCTGTACAGCTGCAACACGCAGACCGCACACACACAAAACAAAGCATTGCTGTTTGCTTTACTCCTGGTCTGTGCACAGTGTTTTCTACTACTCTTCAGGGGTAGTAATCCACTGCTAGAGCTGCCCAGAGCGCTCTTCCTACATGCCTGCAAACACTGCACGCTGGCATCTGCTCATAGCACAGAGCAGGACTTCAGAATATTTCAGAATATTTCAGAATATTTAAGGTTGGAAGGGACCTCTACAGATCATCTAGTCCAACCTTCCTGCTCAAGCAGGCACACCTAGAGCATGTGGCACAGGGTGGCATCCAGGCGGGTTTTGAAGACCTCCAGAGAAGGAGACTCCACAACCTCCCTGGGCAGCCTGTTCCACTGCTCTGTCACCCTAACAGTAAAGAAGTTCCTCCTCACCTGGAGACGGAACTTCTTGTGTTTCAGCTTGTGGCCATTACCCCTCGTCCTATCGCTGGCCACCAGTGAGAACAGCCTGTCCCCTTCCTCCCTGCATTCTCCCTTCCTGAACTTATACATATTAATCATATCCCCTCTGAGCCGCCTCTTCTCCAGAGAAAACAGGCCCAGCTCGCTCAGCCTCTCTTCATACGAGAGATAAATCTCTGCTGTCACCTGAGAGGCCTCCAACACTGAGGACCCACATGGGAGCAGCCCTGCACCTCTACTACCAGCAGCTCAGGCAGGTTGTGACAGAATCGGGAGTTAAGCCAGCAGGACAGACTTGTTCCTGCATTAGAGTTACCTTGGAGTAGGACAGTGCCAGCTGCTGAAACACGGCATCATCTGGGGATTTACTGTATATGGCTATTCCTTGTTCATCATCATCAAAGGGGTAGTTCACCACCAGAGAACCTGCAGGGGGAACAAGATTTGACTCATACCCACATTCCCTAGTGATCCCTCAGCCTAAGAGGGGAAGTTTTTCTTCCCCCAGTCCCTGCAAAAGAGTGCCAGGAACCAGATCTTGTGCTTCTTAACATTTGGCATTAAATACAGCACTAAATCCAAAAGATAAAAGAGACAACAGAAGTATATGAAGAGCTAAGACAGCATCATTTGGAAAGTAAACCCAAGTCACAACACATGGGAGGTTTGGCTTTTACATGCAGGAAAGATGAGCTCCTAAGTATCACTTACCTGAAGGAGAAAAAGGGAAGGAATTTCCCAGAACATACAAGGAGCTCTTGGCCCAGCTGCTGTATCTATTTAGCCTGCTAGAGTTTATTGTAAGCACTGGTAGGTTATAACATCTTTAGCTTATTCAGGTGTTTCCTCAGCAAGTTCTACTAACGTGAGTTCTGCTGCTGGAGAGCTGCCAGCCCCTCTTACCCACGCAAGGTATTTCTGTGCTGGTACAAAGCAACCACCTGCAAGTTACTACAGCTGCAAGCCAGCAGACAAACCACCTAGGGAATAAGATGCTATACAGAGACTTCATTTAGATCACTTTCAAAAGGTAATTAAATTACAGCAAATTTCGTAGTTCCACCAGGCAATTCATGGCAGGAAATCCTCCAGATTTCATCTCATTCCCTTCACCTCCTAAATATTACGAGCCTCCAACAGCCACAGCACTGTCACACACACAGAACCAGCTGCTGAGCAGCAGCCAACCAGAGGATCCACTCCAGTGGCTCAGCCAACAAGGCCCTAGGTTCCCCCAGTGCACATGGCCCCTTCAGAGAAAAGGCCACGATGGTCCCAGCAGCCTGTTCAACACCACACGGAATGTGTTTAGGGACGTTGTTTTCATCCTTCTGATCTTCCAGCAGCATAAACCTCAACCTACTGATAATAAATATATTCCACTCCTTGGTGTGTGTAGGCCTTTCAGAAATGGTCTCAGTCTGGGGCAAGAACCTGGCGGGATTTGCTCCCGCAGTTTCACAGTTGTGGCAAGTACAGAGAGGTCTCTGTTCACACCTGGCAGCAGCGTGGAAACATCCCTGCAAATCCCATCCCTCCAATGTCAGCCCAGGGAAGGAGCCTGCTTTGCCTGCCATACCTCCATGCAGGTTTGCTGAGAGGACAAACGGGTAAGTCCTTAACCAGCTCATGACAGCAAGAGTCTCTGGTTGCAGAGGATCCGTCACCTGCACGAACTGATCTGGGAAGTTCCGGTTCAAGTCATAGTTGTTGCTGTTGTTCCTGCCAATGGTGCCTCCTTTGTCTCCTGAAAGTTAAGCACGTGTTCAAGTTAGCACCCTATGCAAGTGTGAACAGAGCAGAGATCGGGTCCTCTCACTGCACAAGACCCAGAGACCTTTGTCACAGGAAAACTGCACAACAGGATTGGCTCCATGTGCCCAGGGCCACGGGACGAGCCCCTCTCCTTGGGCGAGGGGTCTGCTCCGGGCCAGAGCTCTCTGGGAACCCCTTTAGCAGGTGCTCAGACAGGGCGGTGCTGTCGGCCAAGGCACTGCTAGCAGAAAGGCAATGAGCCGTGGGACAAGCCAAGCAGCCAAGTGTCACGACCACAGAAACCTCAGAGTTCACCTTTCCAAACCAGCTGGACAAGTTCTTTGTTAAAACAAAAAAAGCTTCGCTCTGCCAATCTGCAACAGCCACGTGGTTTTAAGGACTTCCCTGAAGGACTTTATTTTATTCTATTTTTGCCAATGTCAACACCACAATAAAAGTCAGTATTATCCTTGGACAAGCGCTCTGCAGACAGCCTGGCTCCCACGCCATGTGTTACGAAGAACGCAGACCAAAGCAGAGCAAGTATGAGCTATGTCAAAGGAATGCCCTTTTTCTTTTTTTTTTTTTAAATAAGCCTTAGGAAAGCCATGAGGGGATCCAAAGAGGGGCAGCAGATGGTATTGCTGAAGCCCAAGAGCTCTCTGCAGCTTCCCTGGGCATCACTCAATCTTCCACTTCCCACAGTGCAGGGTCCACCCGCTGGTGCACAACCAGTCCCTCCCGAGCGTCCCTGTGCAGAGAGCGCTACTGCTTCAGCAAGAACTGCAGCTTGTCTCAAAAGCAGAGCTCTCATGAGCACTGGTCTCGGTGCTAGAAATCCCACGGGTGTTTCAGAACAGCCAGCATACCTTCCTGGGATTTCTCATAGCCGTCGGGATTCATGGACGGCATGATGTGGATGCGCGTACTCTGGACCAAGTCGGTCACCTCAGGATCGGTGCCAAAGTTCTTGCACAGGTACTCGATGAGGTTCAGGAGCAGCTCGCGCCCCACCACTTCATTCCCATGCATGTTACCAATGTACTTGAACTCCGGCTCACCTGCAGACACAGGGACCAATTATAAACCCCAGGGTTAAAGCTTGGGGACATCTCACTAGCCTGAGCCTGTTGCTCTCAGGCCTTTCTACAGAGCTGACAATGTGGAGACAGAATAGACCTCTGAAGTTTTGGGGCAGCTCTGCCACATCTTCTCTTAAGATATGGAAGAAGAGTAATTTGGACGGAGGTGAGAACTGAACTCTAAAGAGTGGGTGAATCTGAGGCATCTTGGCAGGTGCAACTCCAGAGACTCTAGACAGGACATCCTAGTGACCAAAGTCTGATCTGTTAGTGGTAGGGAATGACACCAGCAGAACTCCTGGTCTGTTCCCCACAGACAGGGACCCTTCCATTCCCACAGCACCAAAAAAAAAGCAGGAAATTACCGTGGGGAAGCCCTTTGGTTCTTCCATTCCCTGAACCCAAGCACAGACCTGGGTGTCTCCAGCAATATTCTTAACATTCACGTGAGTACCACCACTGCATCCGAGTCTTTCACAAGGAGAGCAGCAGGCAGCATCTCTTCAGCCAGGCCTTTCTGCTCTGCCCCTCAGTGTCCCAAAGCAAAGGTTTTATTGCTTGCATTTGAGCCTCACACAAAGGGTCCCCCAAGTTACCTGCTTCATGGACGCCAGGGTTGTCCGATATCTCCATCACGTAGAGCTCCCGCAGCTCCACCGACTTGCCCACCGAGTAGAGGCGGGTTATGTTGGGGTACTCGTTCGCATAGCGCCGTAGAAAGATCTCCATGTCCGGGAAGTGATGGTGGCGGAAGTCCACAGGCTGGATTGGCTGATGGAGAGAGGTGGGTTGGGGGGACTCTGCCTGCACAGGAGCAGTCGTGACGGTAGAGACGGGAACAGGCGTTGCTGTGAACTGCGTGAGATTGGGAGCTGGTGCCATCACAGTTGGTTGCAAGGAGAAATCCACTGTTGTTGCCTCTCCCTCCTTCACCTCAACGTTCTCCATGGTCATTGGGATGTAACTGTGCAAAAAGAGCTGGTTTCAGCAGCAGACTCTGCAGGCTGAAGGGACAGAACCCGCTGTGGCCTCTCCTCGACTCCAGCTGGGATTAGCTGGGATGCTAATGCCTACAGGGAAGATTCCCCAAGGAACAAGCTGTCAGGACTCCTCCCGCTTCCCTGTGGGGGACCCAACTAGGCTGTTATCCTCGCTGTGTTACAGTGGCACAAGTTCCTGCTTATGGGAGCAGCACATGGCCTAGCAGCATGTTACTGCATCTACAGCTGCACAGGAGACACCACCACGTTTTACAAGGGGACACTACCTCCTTTTCCCCTTCTGCCAGGAACGGGAGCTGCAGCCTGGTACAAGAAACAAATTAAGACAACAGCCACACTGTTCATTCAGCACCCACATGCTGCAGCAGCATGAGGTGTGAACCCACATGGCTACAGCTCCAAGCTCCTACCAGAGTCATTTACAGCTGCAGCTTCCAGCCAAGCCCCTTAAATACAGAGAACAAGATACTTTCGGAGGAAGAATCAAGTAAAACACATCAAGAGTGAGCAGTGTGGACGCAGGCTGCCCAGGACATTACCCCATCACCACTGCGGTCACGTTGTAGGTCCCGGGCACAAGCAGTCGGTGGTAGTCGCCGTATCTGCCTGCCGTGATGTTGTGAGCAATGCCAGCAACGACGATGGTCGCGTTCTCCAAGCCAGAGCCGGTGACTACATCCCTGACAAAGCCTTTCACACCGATATGGACCTGAGGAGAACAACACAAGGGCCTGGCTGATGTAGCAAGGGAGGAACCGTGTCCTCCACGTGGCTAAAGGCAGCAGAGCAGGATGGCTGCCAGGCAAAGACAGCCTGTGATTCAGACAGCGCTTGCCAAGACTGCAAGGAGAGCAGTCTGTGAGCACAAACCGGGCAGGCAGCAAGTTCCCAGAATGGATCTTCCCCAATAAGCCTTTCACTGGTTGACATGGGCTCCCAAGGTGGCTCACCTGTGCTGCAGAGCACAGAGACACTGCAGGGGTCCCATACAAGTCCAACCACCCAAGAGTTACATGCCACAGCAGGGAGCAAACACAGCTGCCTCTCCTCCCAGCCTCAACTGCCACCCACTCAACATGCACGTGGCAGCAGCAATCTGCAAACCAAGATTTCGGCAGTGGTCCTTGGTGCTTCTGCACGCTGTGGGAGAATATCTGCACCGAGATCGTACCCAGAATACTCTGAATTTCTTAGTGAGATCTGTACCTCTTGGTGCACCCTAAAATGATCCTCTTATAAGAGCTGAGCTCTGCTATTCTGTAGAATGTAGCAACTGTGGCAGAACCAGAGAGATGTACAGCAGGGTACAGCAGGTTTGGACGCTGACCTCTGCACGGTGACTGCAGCAACTGCGTTACTGCGGGTGCCAAACTCAGTCACAGGAGCAGCTCAACACAGTGCCCTGGGCCCACCATGGACACGCACGTTTCACAGCCGCTGCCCACGCACCCGCTGCAGCCCACGCTACCTTCTCAATGAAGGCAAGGAGAGACTCCCGGTTGTTCTCCCACTCCTGCTGAAGCTGGGAGGCTGGCGGGTATTTGCAGCAGGACAGCTCCAGGGTGATCTCAAAGCAGTCGGCCCACACATAGTTGTAATCCTGCATCCCACCTGAGAAAACAAGGCAGAGACATCAGTGCGAGACATCCCTCCAGAGGAGGCACCTTCTCCACTCCCCTCAGCATCTCATGGCATCTCACGAAGATGCTGCCTCAGCTCCAGTGGGAGCAGGGAGAAAAGATGAGATCAGATCACTGGGAGAGCTGCTGCAGGAGAGACACTGAGCTCTGTTTCTCCTGGTAACCAACATACTGGGCCATTCAGATGGAAAATGACAGTTCCTTCAGTCTTTCAGCTGTCAGCTGAACGCAGCAGCGCAGCACCTGGCAGTGAGCACTGCTGTGTTTCACTGTGAAGACAGTTCTGAGACACTGTGAAGCCTGGATGTCAGGGCAAGCACAGCAGAGCGAGCATGACTGCAACAGAGTCTTTTACTATGTGTCTGAAGCCTCCTGCAGATCTCCTTTAGCTTTTCCTGCAGGAAAAGTTACTCTCCCAAAACCAGTGTCTGCCCCCTGCTCCAAACGAGCAAAGCAGACTATCGATTTGGGAGCTTGCACCTTAAACCTACACGCTGGAATCACATTCCAAGTCCACAAAATTGTGCTCCAAGAAAATCTTAGGCAAAGTTAAAGGCTGTAAGACCACGTGAGAGATAAGCTTCCCTTTTACATTCCTTCAGCCTGTTCTGCTCCACCGATACCTTATCGGAGGGTATCCACTTGCTGATTTTTAGAGCAGCGCTAATAGAGACTCTGTGAGAAGACCCAGCACGCAGTGAATGCAAGACGTCCTAGCAAGGTTTCCTCCTGCTTGGGGAGGACAGTGACCCCCCTCTCACCTCTCAGGACTCCTGTGACCCTCCAACAACCAGGCCCTGCGAAAGAGCAGGACGCAGACCTATCCACCCACTCCCACCTAGAAACTCACCTAGAGCTGAACCAACAGCCTTGCACCTACAGACTCTACTTCCTCCTTAAGGCAGCAGTCTCAATGAATTCAGGTCCCTGCAGCATCTAGGGACAGTTTTTGACTTCACGTTGAACCAGCCAGACCTCCCAGAGCACTGGAGAACAGAAGGCCTGCAGAGCTGCTTCCCAGTATTAAGCTTATCTGGTTATCCCTGCCCTTCAGAGAACCCACAGGAAGGGACAAATTGGGAAGGTCACCTCGTTCCAGCAAGTGTCCCAGCCCATTTGCTTAAGTTTATGCAAGCGAACGTTTCTCTAGTGGGTACGAATCACACACCAGCAGGACCTGAACACTGCTCCAGGTATCAGCACTTGCAATCTGGAGCTCAGATTTGAGCACGCTGCTGAAGATGCAAATATTCAGCCCTCGAAACACGTGGGAGCTTTCAAGTGTGAAGAAAACCCACATTCTGCAACACCACAAGTCTGTGCAACAGGTTTCAGAGTCACCCTGACAAATCACATCACTGTGGCTGTATGAGAGGGCTTTTTCTACCACTACCAGATGATACAGAAAATGCAGGTGACACTAAGCTCCGTGCATGCTGACAGTATCTTCTGGTTTGTACAGCCCCAGGCAGCTGCAATCCAAGCAGACAGGCACGCCAAGACCATGGCCATTACTTCCCAGGTGGCTCCATCTCAACCTCCGCAGCAGCCACGGGGACCACAGGACAAAGCAAGGCCAAGCCATGGGCTAGAGATCAGTATTTCTGCTAGGGATCAGCTCTCCTGGTCCCTGCAGGTCAGCTGAGGAAGTCAAACCAGCTCTCAGCAGCCCTTGGGTCGTGAAACGGCTACGTACCTGTCCCAGCTTCAGCTCCCTGCTGAAACCAGGTGCCACAAGCAGACCTCAGGAGGAAGGCAAGCAGAAGACAGACTCGGTGTCACCAGCCTGCAGGATCCCAGCAGGCGAGTCTGAGACACCCACACCTTGTATCTCATGCTTTGTTTTGCCTGCCAAAGTGCTAAATTAGTGCTGTGCTAATAAACTTCCTTTGCTTTGTCTGAGCAGCCTCCTAGTCATTCACAATCCGCTTCACAAAAGAGATGGCACTGGCTGATTAACAGATCAATAGCCAGATGGAGGCAAAGGCACTACCTGCATTTGCAAAGGCTGTTTTAATGCACAGCCAGGAAGAGAGATCAGCAGCACTTGGCCAAGCGCTAGAGTCTTCCCTTAAGTGTGGTGGCTGTCACTAAAAAGGTGCCATGGTCCTAAAAAGTCAGCGATTGCTGCTCTGAAAAAGCCCACTCCATTCAGATAAAACAGAAATTGGTTACAGCATCAGCTAGGGGAGAGAAGAACAGATCCCTGGAAAGATATGAGGGATGGCACTGGAGCAAAGATGTCCCCGTTGCTCCCAGCTCTTTGGGAGCTGCTGCTAAGCAAACACGAAGCTTTTATCGTAACAAATCAAACGTCACTTTTACCAGGAAGAACACGGCAGCCCACGCCAAGGGATAAGAATAGGGGCCAAAACAGAAAAGGGAGCTCCCCATGGAGGCCAAGCAACAGAAAAAAAGCGATCGGGGACTCGGTCCAAGAGGATGGAGGGCCAAGGCCTGTGAATCCCATACAGACTCAGCATGATTTGGCTCCTGCTCCGAGACTCAAGAGTAGCCCATGGCAGGCTGCTCTCTCCAGCAAACACCATGCAGAGGGAAGCAGCTTGCCAGCCTACAACCATCTGTTCCTAGTGGGAAGCTGAAGCATTTGAAAACCTCCATACGTAAACCAGAGCCATTATGAAGCATATTTAGTGCTTCATCTGCCATTCAAGTAAATTTAGGACAGATGCTTACCCATAACAGAGCAGCAACAGACTAAATCAGAGCTTGCTCCATCAATTTCAGTAAAACTGCCTCTTCAGGAAAGTAGTTCACTGCATGCTGGAAATTTTGGACTGCATCTGCTGCACATGTTCAGCTTTCACACGGCCCCACTGCAGAGCAGGACAGTTATTTTTACAGCGTATGGAGTTGCATATTTTCCCAAATGCCATCTGCATTTTCCCAAACGCCTCTCAGCTGTGCGGACGATATGGAGGCAGGCAGAGAAACCTGTGCATGACCTCGCATTAACGAAGTAGGAGAAGCTCCCTCGGAGTCCTGGACTGCCAGACTAGAGCCTGGACTGCGAGACTAGAGCCGGACTAGAGCCTATAGCCTGCTATCCTGCCAGGTGCCACTTGGGACATTTTGCTGCATTCATTATAGTCCTTTTTATCAGGAAGGGTCTCTGAGCCCACACGTTGCAAAGCTCCAGTCCCCTGTGCAGTGTCGAGCCCATCTCACCGGTGGGGAAAGCAAAGCAAGACCAAGAGCTTACAGGCCCAGCAAGCGAGCTGCGACCAGCTGGCAGGCGGCCACAGCAGTGCTCACTTGCCACCTAGCCACGAGGTCAGTCCCTGGGCGGGAGGCGGATAAACATCATCCACGCTGCAGCTACTCGGTGCAGGAGCCTGGACGGCAGCCACCCCTGAGCCTGTGCTGGGCAGCAGGGTCCTTCCCTCCCTGGCTCTGCTCCCAGGGCACTCGGGCAGGAGCCTGGACCTCTCCAGGGCCGTGGGGTGGGTGCTGCCCGGCTCCCACAGACACACACGGCCCTCCAGCACCAGAGATCCACGTACCTTAACCACACTGCACGTCACAAGCTGCCTTACAGGCCAGTCTGGAAGAACTTCATATCCAACTGTGTGATGCAGGAGCCTCTCTACCTGCAAACCTCCCTGGAGCAGACAGCAGGAGACAAGGGACCTCCTGCAGCAAAGTCGCAGCATGGAAACGGTCCTGTCTGCTCTGCAGAGAGCAGATGGCACAAGCGAGCTCGGATGTTAATCACATCCAAATCACTTCTTCTGTGGCCAGGAGTGACTGCTCACACTGCTTGCAGCTGCATCTGACGGGCAGCACAAGTTTCAGCCCGTTAGTCACAATCATTAAAACGCAGAGGAGGGAAGGCCCAAGCCTGCAGCCCAGCACGGACACGCACAAGGTTCATGTAGTCACCCCCTGCATCCCCACATCCCAAGTGCCTGCAGAAACATCTCAAAAACGTGGATGTGAGATTTAAACTGGTGAGAAAAATATCTTTTCATAAGGGGCTGCAGATGAAGACAAGACCTTCCAAGGTCCACGTCCACGAAATGCTCTCTTGAATATTATCCTGACCTCAGGTCCTGAATTGGGGTCTTTATGAAATGAAGACAAGCGTGTCCACCCCAGAGATAAGGGCTAGGCAATTTGCCTTTAAATCCCATGGACTCTTGGGCCTGCCTTGGCTCACACTGCTTTGAGCATTAGCTGGATCATGCATCAGCCCAAACCTCCAGCTATTTTCTTGATCTAAACCAGTCCCTTAATAGTTAAAAGCCCTGGAGATTAAAAAGGAAGGAAAAGTAAGTGTGTGTATCCCAGAGATAGCCTCAAAATGTGTCCCAGTCATAGACACGCTTATCTATAGCGGCTGGAATGCAGAAGGCAAATTCAGCAGTGTGGCAGAGAGCCATATTTTTCTATACACACTTGACCTTAAAAATTACTCCAATGGTTTGTACTTGCCACCTCAGCTGGACACATGCAAAAGGTTGTTTGCAAACTCAAATGAAAAAGCTAATGAGATCTGGCACTACCACAAATCCAAACCAGCAACTCCAGGTCAATGAATCCCCCAGCGTTTGACCTTCCAGTACGTTTGATTTCACACGATAAAACATGGCAGGAAAATTCCCACCTGTTGAGACATTATGTTCTCATTTCTTTGTTTTTCCTGGCTTTAAGCGACTGGGAGCCTGCAGCCTTTGCTGGCACGGCTTGCTGTGCAGCCTGCAAACACACACCCTGCACCTCTCGCAGACCCTCGTGCTCTGGGGGCGACCAGAGCTCGGCCACCCCAGGCAGCTCCTGCCACGAAGCCCCGACCTCCCCATCCTCATCCCACCACGAACTGAAACCCTGGAGCTGCTGAGCAGAGGCTGCTGGTGGGAGCCCACGTGGGAGCGTGTCGGAGCGGTCCCTGGAACCAAGCTGAACGGAGCACAGGACTCCACAGGGCCCTGCTGCCTTTCTGCCGCTTTGTCACACGCCGCATGCAACCAGCTCTCCTGCCTCCGCTCTTCAGCCCCTAATCAACACTAGCACCTAAAACACAGAGTGACACAGTAACTTCGTAAAAATGTCTTAATGCAGCAACTCTATGTGAATTATGACCTAGGGGACAAACAGTTCAGGTACCAGTGGCTCCTGTCCGCCAAGCTGTGGCATTTGAGAGCTGGTTCAATCTGCAGCTGCCATCAAGGTATCTAATGCCAGGCTGCAAATTCTGCTTCCTCAGGTCCCTACAAGTCCTCTGAGTTGCTCACAGCCACTAGCAGTGAGCCCTGCCCTGGGGCTTGGCACAGCCAAAGGGGTTGCTTCCATGGGGCCTGAGAGCCCGTGTCTCCAATGGGCAGATTTTAACCTCCTCCGAGGGCAGTGCAGAGCAGGACGCTCCCCGGCTCACACCTTGTCACCTCCTGTGCCAGGAGGGGCAGCCAGACCCCCGCTGTGCTGCTTTACTAAACAAGGGCAGCCCCAGCGGGTCAGAGCAGCCGCCACCAGCGAGCTGCCCAAGGCACGGCTCCGGCTGCCCAAGCGCTTCACAGCACAGCAGGCGCTCAAAGATGTTAAGCCACAGTCAAAACGCTGCTCAAAGAAAGATCTTTTGCTTGGCCACAAGCCAAAAGCTCAAGCACAGCCTCTCCCAGCTCAATAGCAAGGGCAGCAAAGCCGAGCGCTCCAGGGAACAAACCCATTGATCAGACAACTGCCAGCAGCAGCTGCCACCAAGGCAGCGCTGCCCATCCAGGATATCCTGCTCGGTCGCAAGCACGTTCGCAAGATTAGAGACCTCCCTCGCGCGGGGCTTTGCGCAGGAGCCGTGAACCTTGAGCTGGCAGAGCCCAGAGTGCGTGAGCTTGAGAGGGTGGAGGGAAGGAGACAGCTGCTAGAGGAGAAGGCAAAAACCACATCTTGTTTGAACAGCAAAATCCGCAGGAATGATTCAGCCGCCGCTGAAATACAGACTTCCTCCTCCGGCACAGAGGTGACGTATTCAGTTCCCGTAGCGGTTCACTCTCCTCCCCAGTACATATGGATTCAGGGTTAATATGTGACTCAGCACTGAAGCCCACGCTCTGGAAAGACAGCGTCTTTGGGGGATTTGTTGAGCTGTAAGCTATTAAGCATAAACTGTGCTTGATTTTGGTGCTTGCTCAGCGCTTCTGCCACTACCCTGCAGCTCAGCCACAGCAAAGCAACGCGAATTCCTCCATCAATTATGCAAGACTTTTGTCTTGGCCTCATCGCAGAAGTTACTATATTGCCTAGTGAGTTCCCAGTTGTACAACATCTGCTGGGGGGGGACTTGCGAATCGTGTAATTTATTCTAATGAGAAAACCAAAATCACTCTTTCCATTAGCCTATAGAATGCTTTCCATAAGCATCTCATCACATCAGCTGCTATTTATATCCCATTTAAGCAAAACAGGCACCCAGAGTCCCCTACTGTGGCTGACTATCCATGGTAGCAGAACGGTGGTGGTACCAGGAGAGAATTTGCTTTTATTCAGATCACCTCTGCAATCTTCCTATTGGAGAAGGATCGGAGATTTCCTAGAGGCCTTGGGAGACCGCATTTTGGATCTCTTCTAGGGCCAGCTGCACTGGTGGGCTGGAACAGACCCTGCTTGGTTCCCATCCTCCACACAGAGCTAGTAGGACATTAGTTCATAGAAATCTCCCTACCTACTTCCAATAGGATCAGTTAAGTTAGTTCAGACCATGAATATAAACCATTTTACATAGTTTTAGAGGGGGTTATTTTAACACCCTTAAACAAAACTACAGTGGAAGTAAAAAACTAAAAAGCAATGGAAGTACAGAATAATGGCACTTCAAATTAACATTTGTACCTTCATTCAGCTGTAGTAATTGTCCTGAGATCTACAGCAATGCATTTGGCAAATGAAGCCTATTCCATGCAGGACTCTCCAAGTTTGCTGGGATCTATTTGCTCCCTACAGACCCAAACATCTCCCAAACAGCAGTTCATCAAACACTTGCTGATGTGCCCATGATGCCACAATCCTTCATTTCAAGCTCTCAGAACATACGCAAAGCTAAATATGTAATTTTGCCTACTCCCTCTTTTCCACTGTGATGATCGCTGTTTCAGACGTCATTTCCCAGTGGGAACAAGCAAATATTTCTGTAAGGCACATGACACAAACTAACAGAACTAGAGAAGTTCAGCAGGGTATCTTACCTTCTACATCGTACCACTGGGCACCGTTTGTGATGCCATCCTGGAAAGTCTCTCCCTCCTCGCCCGGGCAGTTTGGGGTGCCAGTTCTCATTATAGGATGATTTGACGCGTAAGCTTTTGCCAGGTATCGGAAAACTTCATCATCGGCGGATTTGCTGTAGACTCCTGTGGGCTTATGCGTGGGAGAGTCATCGTAGGGGTAGCTTGCAACCACTGAGCCCCCATGAAGATTGCCGGAGAGCAGAAACCTGGCGTTGGGAAGGGGGAAAGCAAAGAGCTGCGTTGGAACAAGACAAACTCATCAAGCAGCCACCCAACCAGGCACTCCACTGCTTTCCCACCCAAAGCATTCCCAGCAACTTCCAAAGTCTATTTGGGATCCGTTGAGCAGAACACGGCCACTCACAGTAGTATTTTGCTCAGCAATACAGTTATTTTAAAAGAGGAAACGATTAGACACTCCCTATCAGCACTGTATAGGAAGAATAGCCGTCAAGTCCTAACTACTGCAAGGTTACACGAGCAGCGAGGCAGTCACTCTGCACTGGGCAGGCTTCTATTTGACAAAGAGATAAACTTCTTTGACACATATTCCCTCTAATTAAAACCAGCCCCCAACGTGGCAAGCAGCATTGTTGGAGGATCAGAACAGCATTCAAATGGAAGCTGAAGCCAGTGGGTTTTTTTTTTTTTTTTTTTTTTGGAATCCTTCTCAGGACTGGTTTATTCACCTCCCAATTTGACATCTGCCATTACTGGACATGAAACAAGTTTCTTGCTTCAGTTTAAGGCAGAGCCCTTCAATTCCAAACAGTGCCCTGCGCATTAAGGCCCTACCCGCAGCTCTGGGTCAGGCTTTGGGCAATGCGTGAGCTCTACAGCACGACTGACCGGCCTGACTAAGATGTGACCGAGTGAAAGAGCTGCTAAAACTCCAAGCCTGAGCATGCAACAGTCCAGCCTGCCTCTATCGCACTGGATTTTCATCACAGGCAATCACAAGCTTTCCAATAAATCTTTAAAGACTAACATCTCTACTTTCCCTCTTCTTACCAAATACAGTACAGGGGAAAAAAAACCTAAGTTAATTACTTCTCCTTCGGTCAAATGTGATTTAGATCCTATGTAGACATAACGTGACCGATACCTTGGCCTTATCAGAAACACAGCACATGAGGTGTATTATGCCCACTAGCACTTCTGAGAGCTAACAGCTCTGTTTACCCATTCATTTTTGTACCAGTGATTACATTAGCACAACAATTACAACAGCATTAACGGGTGCTGCCAGGCAGAGGGATGCACCAAGCACCCAATCCTTCCTGCTTGAGCCTGGCTTACAAAAAGAAATCCCACCTCAAATGTGTGCTAAAAAAAGCAATGTGCTTTCAGAATAATGTTAAGAACACGTGTGCTTTTCCTTAAGCTATAACGCTAAGAACACATGTGCTTTTCCTTAACCAATTTGGAGTTTGACCAAATCCATGGGATCCATTCCACAACCTGCTGCCTCAGAGCTGCTCCAAAGGACTATTGGGACTATTTAGGAGACACAAACCACGGGTGCAGCTTGTGCAGGTGCCATCAGGCCTCTGGGCAGCACGATCTACTAACTTCCAATAGAGGCAATTCCTCAAACTTTGTTCTCTCAGACGGCGCAGCCACGATGCGCTGCGAGCTCGTGCATCGCTGAGATCTAGCCCAGAGCCCCCAGCCCATCATCCCGGCAGTTTCTTTCTTCCCTGTTTTGGGGACACTTTATTTCAGTGCATTGCTTGCACCTGAGCAATGTTTGCATTCTGCCTTTCTTTACACGGCTTCACATGCCAGTTTTACATCCACTTTTGTGCTCTAGATGGTCTACATTTTCTCTAAGGGAGAGGGCAAAGACAGAAAGGGTCTCTCCCAGGTTTGCTCCGGCCCCACCACAGGGCTGCAGGGCAGAACTGGACTCCCTTTCCAGGCCACTGTCTCCCCTTCCAGGCTCTCCTGCTCCATCACGGACAGCTGCCGCCGTTGCCCCCTTCCCTGCTTAGGCCAAGGCGGGGGCTGAAGAATCAAGGCGGGCTCTGGGGTCCGGCCTGCGCACGCTCACAGGACGGGCGGGGGGCTGCAGCAGCAGGACCTGCCTTCAGCCCCTGGCCAGTCTTACGGCTGGACTCAATGATCTCAAAGGTCTTTTCCATAGATTCTGGCATGTGGAAACGCTGCTGCCGAGAGCAGTGTTGCTAAACCCGGGGGATTTCACGTGCAACACAAATATGGAGAGAAAGGCCATGCTCCTTGCAATCCTGACAGGCCTCTGCTGACACGTGTGTGCACAGTCAGTGCTTGACCCCCACTTTCACCCCCAAAAGCTCACGGAGAAAGCGTTACAGGTCCCGAGACAAGCCCACACGAGGCAGACAAGCGAGGCCATCAAGTCTGTGGCCATGGAGGAAGGGAGGTCCCAGAGCAGCCAGGGAGACACGGAGCACCCAGGAACAGTCACTGCCCACCCGTGTCACACCGGCCAGCACCAGGGGCGGCCCGGAGGGACCCGCGGAGGGCAGGGATGAAGCAGAGCGGGGAAGCGGGCTCCCCCGGCGCCGGGGAGGCCGGCGGGGCGGCCGCACTCACTTGTTGCGCCGCATCCAGGCCATGAGCGCGCGCACCTCGGGCACGGCGCCCAGGTCGGGCCGCGCCGCGCCGAACTGGTCCGGGAAGCTGCGGTTGAGGTCGCGGCCGCGGCTGTTCTCGCGGCCGCCCGCGGCGCCGCCGCCGCAGTCGCCCTCGCGGGCGCGCTCGAAGCCGTCGGGGTTGAGGCTGGGCAGCAGGTAGAGGTCGGTGCCGTTGAGCAGGCGGCCGATGCGCGCGTCGCCGCCGGCCCAGCCGCGCACCAGCTCCTGCGCCAGGCGCAGCAGCAGCGGCCGCGCCAGCGGCTCGTCGCCGTGCATGTTGCCCACGAGCTTCACCTGCGGGCGGCCCGGCAGCGGGGCGCCGCCGGCCTCCTCGCCC